TCCTCCCTTGTGAGTTGAGTTCTGTAGACATGGCTAAGGATCTCTTTGATAGAGAGTGAGGAAATGGAGCTTTGAGCATTATCCTCAAAGAGGTGGAGGAGGTACTGATTGATAATAGGACAGTATTCATCAGGAACTGGTAAGTCTTCTCCAATACAACAGATAACTTCTGAGAGATTCCAATAGATGACTTGGTAAGCAGTAAGTCCTTGATAAGTTGTAGAGAAGGGAGGATAGTTAGAACTATAAGACAAATCTAGTGCTTTGTCAGACTAGGTATATTTACAATGATCTGACAGAGTTTGCGATGCATGGGCTGAAGGGAGCCAGACACCAGGTGTAGTGCAGAGATCAAGATGTATATAAAGTAAATGAGCTAATCTTCTAAGAAGCTTAGCTTGGCTAATAATACATATAGTCTATTTAGGGCCAGATAGAGATCTGGTCTGTGCTTCTAAATACTAAGTAAGCTGATTGATTGTGATCTGTCATCCACAGTAAACACTTTAGCCATATGTAGCAACTATATCAAATATCTGTCCACATTTATAATAACTCAGTGTTATGAACTGTTTATTCGATAACCCCAAGAGTAGGAGGTTCTTCCCTAGGTCACTCGTAGAGGAAGGGTGGAACAATGGTCTTGACTGTACGTATAGCACAGGAGCCAATATAGATTTGCAGAGGTGCAGTAGGAAGATTGCATGGCGTGAAGGAGTACTGTAGGAAGACAGTACTAGAACAAGGAAAATAGACTGGAGATCCACCAGCCTACTCTATGGGCCTTATATACTACTTTATGAAATAGGGCATGAGAATACCAAATATGTATCTGTAGGTATTCTCCTAAGTCGTCTCTCTCAGGATGACTACTCTTGTGCTTTTCTGATTGTCTCCTTCCAGCCAGGAAAGACTAGGAGCTTCATGCCCTGCGTGTGAGTAGTTTGTAAGGTGGGAAAGAATGCCCGCTGCAATAAAGGCTTGTGATACTCGACCAACAATGGGTGATCCGTTGGGAATGGATGACCAAGGTTATTACCTGTACCTTGATGTATGCCTCAACCTGTGAGGCTGTCTAGTATTTATGATGATCATATCGGAATAAACCGCCGTTAAGGCCCAATAAGTTGTGATCATAACAATACCCCCTTTCTACATCCTATTTGCTTAGTAGGACCGCGCTTTGCATGTCATCGCCACTCCATATACAATTTGCTTTCTTGATCCAACAATAGGTCTCCGGATGCGACTTCTGGGACATGACTTCATTTTCTGGGAGGAAGACTGGCTTACATTGTTTGATCCTCTAGGAGTTTTCCATCTCCGTTGAGCTATTTGTTTGTTGCTTGTTGGGGTTCCAATCCCTCATCTGTAGGATTTTCTTCCTTCACCCATGAGGATTATTTTGCCATGGGTATACCCGTCATGGTCTTACTCCAGCCTCCCTGGATCAGCATCAAGAAAGGCATATGAATGCAAGTGGTGTGTGGATGAGTAGAAACTCTAGCTTGTGGGTTCTGATTTGTGTCATCATTATCTTCTTCTTCCTTCTTCAAGGGCCAAACCTCAGTGTTTCCAGAATAGTTGTCTATCCTCATGACTTGTTAGTTCCTCTTGACGATGAAGCGTGCCCACGGACAAGTAGGTTGATCACTTTACGAAGGCTTAGGCCTACTTCTCCAGGCTACCCTATCGTCGTCCTAAGCAGTATTGCTCCCATCCGGTGAGCTCATCTCCGGTGAGGTTACTAGCTAAATCCCAAGCAGTATTGTCCCCATACAGTGGACTCATCTCCGGTAAGGCAGTTTACGGCATCCAGAGTTTGTTTGTCACAAATGTGGGCCTATAGTGGGGAATACCACATGTAGTGTTGGGTTCGAGGCAAGTATGTGAAGAGAATTAGACTTGAAGGGTGCAGTGAGGAGTAAGGAGGAGTCTGACTTCTTCTCCAAGTCTGCCCGTTCACATGCACAAATAGATATCAAGACCACAGCTGATATATTTGTCAGGTTGCGAGATATATCCATAATAGTAGTTTAAATATCATTCTGGATGGTCCGTAGTTTATCGTCATTACGGACGATATTAAGGCGCTCTGCACCTCCTAGTAGTTTACTTTCAAGGTCGTTGCGGACCTGTTTTATCATTAACATGGAGTATCTGTGGGGAAAGATGCTTCTGCATGCCGGATCATTTGCTGGTTATGTGCATAGGGCCCTAGACCAGATTTTACCTGCTCCAGATTCCACTGAGGCATGATGGGGAACGGTTTATGCTATATCAAACTGGATAACTTGTAACGTCTCAATGTTGTGAGACTGCTCAGTTTAATGCCGTGAGGTAGGCAAGTCAGTGGTTTAATGTCATGCTATAGGCGAGCTTGCAGTTTAACGCCATGCCATAGGTGGGTGCTATCGTCTGACTATGTCCCTCAAGTCACGATAGACTTAGCCTTCTGAGGATGAAGATAGTTTACTGTCATTTCGGACGTTATCAGCGTCATTCTCATCAAGAACAACGTTGATGATGATCCCTATGCTAAAAGGGGCAAATAGTTTATCGTCATTGTGGATGACTGTTGACATATTTTCGTCAAAATGATGTTGACCAATAATCCCTGTACCAGAAAGGGACAAGTAGTTTAACATCTTTGCAGACGTATTGGTGTCCAATGGCATGGACATCAATAACAACCCCTAAGCTCTGAGGGGCACTAGTTTAACGTCGTCGTGAATGCACGGTATCTTTGTGAAGATTGCCACGCATGGTCCCTACGCTTGAAAGGACAGTAGTTTAATGTCATTCTGGACATTGATAACATCTTCTTGTGATTAAGATGCTATCTTACGATCCTTATCGGGAAAGGGACGAATAGTTTTCTGTTGTTGTGGACGATTAGGACCCAGGGTTGCCAATCACAACTCTCATGCAGTAAGGAGCAGGTAGTTTAATATCATTGTGAACACGGTGCACCTTCGTGATTAAGATGTCGCTACACAATCCTTTTTCTTGAAAGGATGGTAGTTTAGTGTCATTCCGGACATGGTGATGTCTTGGTAATAAAGACACCACCACACAATCCCTATGCAAAAAGGGACAAATAGTTTTCCATCATTGCGAACGTGATGCTATCTCAATCTTGAGATGACATCCTATGATCCCTAGAATAAAGGGACAGTAGTTTAATGTCTTTTTGGATGCGGTGGTAGAATAGACCCTTTTTCAAGATGAGTGGCCTGCTCTTGTCGTTCTTCCATGATGTGAGCTAAAGAGAGTCATGTGATCTAGCCCGTCTAACTAGATTCCTAACTCGAGGCACCTGTCCTAGTTGCCTCCTGACTAGGTCTTGGAGTGGAATTTCTTGTACTTTGACTCCAGGACTAGACTGGGTGTGCCGTGAAGAGATGTGTGCTCTTCTACATCCCCAGACCCTTCGCTTGGATTTGAACCAAGATGACCCGATGTTCTTTTACCGAAAAGCAAGTGAACATTGAAGCACTTTGACCACTTACAGGCAGGGTTCTGCGACACAGATCCTCCCAAAAATCCACACTTCACTAGAATACAACCACACTCCTTGGGTTGATGGTAGTTTAACATTATCTTGGATGAGGGGTAGTTTTCCATTATTTTGGATGAGGACTAGTTTAACATCATTGTGGACCCTAGTAGTTTATAGTCATTGTGGACCAAGCCTTTGGTAGTTTTACATTGTTCTGGATATAATTTTGTGGCCTCACATTCCTTGGAGGAAGCACGTTAAGTAGAGGTAGCCCGGACTCTACTTATCTCATGCATTAGCAGTTAGGATCCCCTAATGTGGAAATGATCCTGTAAAACTGGAGATCCAAAGTGGGACGTCCAAAACACCAGGCAGACCTTGACTATGAGGGTTCACTTAACAAGTTATGCATCATAATTCTTGGCCTCGGACTTGCAACCAGTTATGTACGGGCACCTTCATTGTACCAAGATGAAGAGCTGGCTTGTTGACACCTACGAGTAGAGTTTGTCATGTAGAGAGTTCCCTAATGCAGAAAAAACCCTGTAAAACTGAGGATCTAAATGGGATGCTTGGTGCATCTGTCAGATTACCCCTTGACAGCAAGGATGTAGAAGGATTCCACCATAGGTTGTACATGGAATTATGCCTGCTTATGTGCCCTTGATTCTTACCATCATTTGAACTAGGATGGGTGGTCAGGTACTTCCCCTGCCTTCTTGTCTTTTTACAGTTTGAAGACATGCAGGTCCAATAGTTTAGACATCATCCCAGACGTGGGGTAGTTTAATGTCTTTTTTGGACAAGGTCATACAGTCTAACATCTTGAGAGACAAACCTAGTTTTATGTTGTTGCAGACAAACTATTTTTAGGTCATTTCAGACCTTAACTCCTATCGGGAAGGAGTTCCTTAGCTTCCTTACCCCCTTTCTTGCCTTGTTATTAGTCTTTCTTAGTAATTGTAAGGTCCTTGATACCCATCGCCTCCTTTGTCGGGTCGATAATAGGGATCTGTGTCATTATAGTTTCCCGGATCATTTAAAGCATCCCATGCATCAAGCTCGGATTGAGTCCAAGAGCGATTTCTTTGAGTCTCCAAGTCAGCGCAGCAAGTTCTGTGGCTACTTTGGTTATTCTGTCCCTCGTCCATGCAAAATCGAGCACTAGTAGGAGGTGTTCCAGGCCAGTGTTGAATACCCCTGCCAACAGTTGTTCCACATTGGAGGGTTGCCTGGCTTCCCCGACTTCTTCTTCCTTCATTTCTTTGATAGATGGGCAGTTCCTCCTTGTCGGTACCACCCTGGGATATGGGAATGTTTTGTACCCGGTGAGAGGAGGAGGTCGTGGAATTGCTATGCACTGTATGAACCTCTCGTTATCTTGGACAAGGGCGTTCCACGACCATGTACAGAGGCCTTCTTGGATTTGATACAGGCACGGGATATTCTCCGGGACATGGTATGTTCCAAGTGACAATGTGGAAAGGGTCAGTTCTGCTTAGTTGGACATTCCCCAGTTCTCCAGTGAAGAGGAGAGCTGGAAGGAGCTCTCTGTTGACATACTGAGAGAACTCATCAGGGTGGATGAGGAGAGCTTGTGGTCATCTATCATTATGTTTGTACCAGGAGGCTGTGTCAGGGTTGGTCTGGAGGGCGAGCATTCTGATCTGGAGACTGGCACTAGCCAGTCATCGAGGTACATCGCTATTTTCATTTCCGGGTTGCCCTGCTGAAAAGTTAGTGAGTCGTTGGAGGGCCATGGCTGTGGCCATTTGTATTACCACGGAGATGGTGTTGCACTGGAGAAGTGCATCTGCATGTCATTCCAATTCTCTGGAGTGAGGATTTGCATGAGGGGTAGGTCTTCCCATAGAGCTGGGAATCTGTCTACCAGCTGGTACTGGTGAGTGTGGAGTTCCTGGTAGAACTGATACTGATTCAGTTGCTCCATGGCTTGGAAGTTGAGTTACAGTTCTTGCTCATAGTCCCGAGGGACCTGCAACTCCAGCATTTGGCGCAACTCCAGCAGGAGGTGGAACTCTAGCTGGTGGTTCGCTAATGCTCGGTGAGTTTCGGTCATCAGAGCCTTCATGCCGTGGTGTATCTTAAAAATTCCACCTTGGCGATAGTTGGTGGGTCCTTTCCCTTTCTTTGAACTTGGCATAATCCTTAGCATTGTCATCCGAGAAATTGTTGAGATTTAGGGTAAGAACAGCAATGGTGGGTTCTGGGCAGTGAGGACTGGTTCCTCTGTCAACTCGTTCAGCATTGGGTTGGTGAGGACTTGTTCCTACGCTCAGGTGATGGATCCCGAACGTTCGAGATTTCGTCATCACTGATTAACTTTTACCTTGTCACCTTTGGAACCCATATGGACATCTCACCTACTGTCTTATCTTCTCTAATTGCTAAGGCTTGGCGCCCATTCGACATCTACTCTCATTTCTTATTTAATATTTTACTTAGGGGCTCTGTTTACTATAAAAACCTACATACAACTCTGGAATAAACCAGCTTTTGCACCCCACAGTTTAGAGCTCATTTGCACTCATCTCAACCATCGAAATCATCTTCATCGACTTCTGAAAACTTGTCATCTTTGTTGTCTGGCCTTGTTTGCATTTGTACTCATCTCTTCACTCGTACCCCTCATCCTCCCTTGTATATTGTCAGAGTCCCGTGTGGCTCTTGAAGCACATAGTTGTCAGTTGCGACACTACCTCCTCGTTACCGACTGAATCGCCGACATGACTGACCGAATGTTTGGTCGGTGTTTGGTGCAGTCCTGAAGCCATTGGGCGCTATAACCTCATACTCCTTGCTGCGTCTTAAGTGCACCATCTATTTCTAAAGTCCTCACTAATGATTCCTTGTGTATCAGATACTAGCTCTAGCACCCCTGCATTAGAGGTTGTTTTGGTGTTGTGCTCGGCACTTAGAGCCACCTCTAGCGTAACACCGTGTTAATCCAATCCTGAATGGTGTCCTTTGGTTGCACTTCCTTGTCATATATTTTGTCCATGACGCGTGGGTCTAGCTCACGTTGGAAGTAAGGGACTTGTTCCTTGTTGGAGATGTTGGTGTCAGTGGCAATAAGGATGAATTGGTTGGAGTATCTGTCAACCATCATTTGTCCTTGGGAGAAAGCCATAAGTGCGCTTTGCACTTTATCAGTCTTGCCTGTCTCCCTAAATTGTAGTTTGAACTTTGCTAAAAAGTTTGCCCAGGTGCCTAGGTCAGTGGGGGGGTCTGCCCCTACTGATTTGAGGAGGAAGTTCTCTACCCAAGCTCTTGCTGTACTATATCTCATGCATGAGAGCACAAGGGATATGTTGTCCTGATCAGTCTTGTACCGGTCAGATTCTGCTGTGAAAAGAAGAAGGCATTGGAGCATGAATTTCTGGGATTCAATGTGGTCGCCTGTATAGTTGTCTGGGAGTTTGGCCTTTCCTCTCCTGGGTTGTACTGTCGTGGGAGGGGCATTTGTAGAAGTCGAAGCTTGTCCCGACATTTCAGCGAGTGGTTCATTTCGGGTGTTGATCGGTGTTTGGTTTAATGATAAGTTGGAGTCTGATTGTGAGGTTAGTTCCTCTTGTTCTGAATCTTCAGGGATTACCAGCGCCGGTTCCCTGTATTAGAGTGGTAGGTCCCAACAGTTTCTACTTCGTTCCAGAGACACTCTTCTTCTGTACTGCTGCTCTTAGCATGGCATACCATCCCTAAATAGATAGGGAAATAGAATGGGTCAATCAGAAAATTGAATAATTTCTCCAAACATTCTGTAACTATCACCAAGATAATTGGGTGGATCTTCTCCCATTCACAAAATTCTCTCATAATACACAGAGATATTCTATTACTGGGAAACCACTATTCAAAGTTCTATATGGCTCCAACCCTTTTTATTTAGCCAACTCAGTGCTAGAGACCAAGGTATCTATAGTGACAGAACAAATATGGACAATTATAGAAGTATAGAAAGAAGCCATAGCTAGCTTATAAATGGCAGCACAATAAGCCAAGGATTGATACTTTAGCCAGAAACTTCCTTAATAGGAAGAAGAAATCCAAGTTTGGTTAGAAGAAACCCATATTTAGACCATGCACCCCAAATTCAAGTTAGCACTGAGGCAATATGGTCCCTTCAAAATCATAGGAAAGGTTAGATCCCTGGCATATAAGTTGAAAATCTCTGATCACTGGAAAGTCCACCCTGTATTCCATGCAGCCATGCTAACTGAATACAAGGAAACAGAAGCCCATGGGGCCAACTTCATCAAACCTCTACTAAAGATATTCAATGATGAAGAACATTACAAGGTGGAGGCTATTTTAGACTCAAAATATCAAGGGCAAGGAATCATTTGGAAAACCACTCCCTTGTATTAAGCTCTAATTAGTTCTATTTATGCATAATTATGAAAGATTAGGATTAGACATTTTTAGCTTACCCCCCTCTAAACCTGTTCTAATTAGACATAATTTTCCTAAATTAAGAATTATTAGGATTCATTATAACTTGAAATTTCGAAAAAATCATAATAAATCAAGCATCACGGTTCTCATAGCCTTCTTATAGAGTCATGTCTATTAGAGCACTAGTTAAATACCTAAACACAGAACATACTTTATAACAAACTTGCCTTCTGCCAGAGTTGAACCAACAACCTCATGTATACAAGCACCTGGGACAGATGCTCTAAGCCACTAAGCCACAAGGTCTAAGATATGAACTTGGTAATCAAAATAAGTAGACATAATATAGGCAACCTCAACATCTCTGATTATATTCAACATTTATCTTTCCTCTATCTTATAAATAAACAGGTCAATAAATACCTAAAAAGTCAGGTCTTTCAGGATTTAGTTTAAACACCAGCTAAGAAGATAATAAACCAATGGAAAATCAATAATACACTTGATATAGGATAAAAATAAATTATGGCACTTATACAATTTGGACTGAGAATATGTAAAACTATGATTGAGTGTAATATTCAATGGGACTCTACTAGTATAGACAATGCTACCTGAATTTGCAAATTTGATCAAAAACATGATTATGAATAATCAAGATCCAATAAGAGAGAGGGGTTTTCCAAATAGCCACTAGTGAGGTAGAGGGTGGGGACAAGAGTGTATGTATGGCATGCCTATATATAAATAAGCACAAGATTGTTGGAGGTGATCTTAATATGCTTAATGCATATATTTCCTATCATTTTGGCACCACATACCAATATGACTGTCTTTTCCACAGCCTAATAGCTATAGGAAAACACCAAGTTTGAGCATCTTTTGTATAACAAGGCAATGAACAATATAAATAGTGCTAAAAATTGTAATATCAATAGTGATGATGATTGTGTGCTGCACAAGATAGTATTGACCACTGTACTAATAGACAAGGTCTACAAGGCTGCATATAGCATATCCCTAAGCCCAACCCATATGTTGTGTCCTATAATGACCAGTAGCAGGCATTGGCTAACAATGACAACTTTAATGATATTATGTGCAAGGCCAAGGTACCTAGGTCTTCATAGCCTCTTGTGGCAGCTGCCAAGCTGCCAACAAAGTTTCTAGGGGCATCAATGTATATTTCTCTCTTCCTATGTCCCTTTTAAAAGTAGCTAGATAGTCAGCAAAAGAGCTACAAGATAATAGTGCAGGCATATATAAAGGAGAGTAATATGCTAAAATAATATAGAATATGCCACATCTTTACCTTCTCACTGATAGAGCAGTAGTACTTACTATTTCCTACTAATAATTGAAGACTTCTTAGTATAGAATTAGTGCTAATATCATGAAATTAGAAACCAATCCAATGCTCACAGTATGTTGCTCCCAATTAGGAAATTAGACACTTTTAGATGCTATTAACACTTTTAGATACTTTTAGACACTATTAGATATAATCCGGAGCTAATATAAGGGGGTGTTTTCCAGATGATCAGATACCTTGTGAAGTGGAAAGGGTACCTAGAAGCTGACAACACAGGGAAACCTTATACCCTTCCAAAAGGACTATTAGAAAAGCATTATAAGATTTCCACAAGGCATACCCTTATAAACCTTGTCCCATAGAAATCAAACTATGAGTATATAAAAAGGGATACTCAAGCCCCCTTATAGCTAAGAGTCAAACCTCCACTGCCTCTCTTAACCCTTATAATTGTGCTCCTTTATGACAACTCAACAGTCTCATCTTCATTCCAAAACTCCTTTTCTGATATTATCCTGGCCATCACTAACCTAGACACCGGACAATTTGATAAGAGAGGACCCTCAACCATACTCAAACAACCCATTATTATCCTAAATACTACTATTCTCTCAACTGTAAATAAGGACAATCTAAAAAAAATGCAAGGGCAGTATCTCGCATGGCAATACATGAAAACCACATGAGAACCCAAATTATTAATTTCTCTTCTCTTGATCAAAGCATTTTCTGCACCAAAAATCCAAAAAGAGAACCTGACAAAATATGACAAAATTCATAAAGCATGAGGTGAAATATTCTGACTCTAACTATCAATGTACCTTATATTTCTAACTCAATACCTGCTAAATCTATGCATTCTGTGTATATGTCTTTTATAGTAGTGGAAAACTCTAAGAACATTATTCAAGTTAGATTAAAATGTCCAATAACCTATAAAAGAAGTGCAATGAAACTAATAGGAGCACATACAACAGGAGCACATACAATGGAAGCACACACAATGAGAATATATACAATGGGAGCATATGTAATAGGAGCACACACAACAAGAGCACATACAACAAGAGCACATACAATAAGAGCACACATGATAAGAGTATGGGAGCATACACAATAGAAGCATACACAATAAAAGCACACACAATAGGAGCATATGCAATGGGAGCACATGCAACAAGAGTACAAGCAATAGGAGCATATGCAATAGGAGCATATGCAATAGGAGCATATGCAATAGGAGCATATGCAATAGGGGCATATATAATCAAAGCACACACAACTAGAGCACATCTAATAGGAGCATACCACACATAATAGAAGCACACCCAACCAAAGCATATCTAATAGAAGCACATGTGATAGGTATATACACAATGGGAGTATACACAATGGAAGCACACATAATGGGAGCACACTATATGTAATGGGAGCACATATAATAGGAGCACACCTAACTAGAGCATATCTGATAAAAACACATATGATGTGGGTACATAAAATGGGAGCATACATGATGGAAGTACATCTAACTAGAGCATATCTAACAAAAGCATATCACATACAATAAAAGCACATTCAATAAGAGCATACCCAATAAGAGCACACCCAATAAGAGCATACCCAATAAGAGCATATCCAATAAGAGCATACCCAATGAGAGCACACTCAATAAGAGCATACTTAATGAGAGCACATCCAATAAGAGCACATCCAACAAGAGCACATCTAATAAAAGCACATACAATAGTAGCATACCCAATATGAGCATACCTAATTCAAGCACACACAATGGGAGCACATATGACAGAAGCAAACACAATAAGAGCATATACAATAAAAGCATACAAAATGAGAGCACATGTAATAGGTAATCAAGTCACAAGTATATAGCTGATAATAGATTACACACAGACTATACACAGGCCACACTCAGACTGTAGGTAGCCTACAATCAATGCATAGTCTGCAACTAACATAGAATATTTCATCTTCATAGCCATTTAAAACTAAACTACAAAACTCAGATCCAACCCTAACCTTAAGAAATATGATTAAGCACTGTGTGAAAGTCACAAAGCAATAGGTCGGAACTCATGACAATGAGGAATAGAAAGGAAAGGGAAGTGCCAATTGACCATTATGGAAAAGCACTAGAAACCCATCATGGAATAAGGGTACTAATGACAGAAACACTAGTGGTCCCAGTAGATCTACAATTTGAGTTCCACATCCTACTGGAGTCATGATGGATACTGGAAATAAAAGTCACATAGGACTATATTTAGGAGGTGAAGATCAACAATCAAGCCATGGAGTAGCTAGCATAGTTTTAATTCTACCAGGAGCTTTACTAGATATAGTACCAACTAGTGGAGCAACTCTTGTGGCCTTGGGAGGACCTGCTGATAGTACAAATTCTTACTCTGGAGAATTGGAACAACACACAGATGCTCTTCTACAGTGAAACACTATCTTTGCAATAATATAAATGGCCACTGCCATGGCATTATAGCAACTTGCTAATTTCTCAGTAGGACAACTAAGAAATAAACAGAATGATGTACCCTGACAATTGGCTAGTGTAAGCCAACAGATCTAGAGACTCACTTTGGACATATTCCAATATTGCTACATGGGAGGAATCAGAAGAGGAATGACCATGCACTTTCCTTATCCATTTAGAAGAGTTCACCCTATATATTAATTGAGAACTCTTACCAGCACTCTTCTTCCTAGGAGAACTCAGACCCATCACATTACAGTGAGTTCATTCTTTTTGTGTCATTACCTAGCCCTCTTTAACAGAGGCTAGAATCCCAATATCATATACCCAAACTCCATCAACATTATCCACCACTACTCAAACTCCTCTAAAAGAACACATAAGCTCTCCAAGAGGCAGGGGCCCCTCAAACCCCAATTATGGAGTTTAAAATACTGATTACAGCATTTGGAATACTAATGAGGAGGAACCACCCATCTATCAATGAAACAAGAGCTGTCAAAATCAAGGAACTTAGATGCCCCACCATCATGGAACACCAACTGGCAGAAGCCTATGACAATAAAATGGAGTGTCTACTCCTACTCCTCAACTTCACATAAATGAGGGCCTGAATTCTTGAAGTAATCAATAAACTCAGCATATTGACTCAAAGACTCAATGAAATCACTACTGGACTCAGAGTGAATTAGATGCTTGGGATGCATTGGACAATCCAGGAAATTATGATGATGTGGACCCTTATTACAGACCTAATAAAGATAGTGACAACTATCAGGATAACAACTACTAATGACATTCATTGACTAGAGGGCAGAGCATAAGGCAAAGAAAAGGGGTAAGGAAGTTGAGGAACTCCTTACCTATTATTGGATATTTAAAAGGAAAGGACCTCCTATATTCTAGTCAATAGTTTTATGCACAGGATACTACTCTATTGGTCTGTAATGACCCTAAACTAGTCATTATCATTATTATTATTGTTGTTGACCTCATTTCTCACTATGTTAAACTATATAACTCTTGTCCAAAAATGACATTAAACTATCTTTGTCCAGGATAATATCAAAACTATCAGACCTATATGTCTTAAAACTGTAAAAAAAACAAAAAGGTGGGAAAGGTACCCAACCATACTCACGATGCATTTGCTATACACATAGTGGATCTTGTTCTATAATGGTATACATGTAATAGGGCAGTTTTTATACCCTTATTGTCAAGGGGTTGTTGAGCACAGTGGCAATAAAGCAAGTGGCACAGAAAGAGTGCCAAAAGATAGCTCTATAATAACAGGACTATGGTCCAGAGGGTAAGAGTCTGAGTAGATACAAAGAGCAGAACATCTGGAAAAACACCCCCTTGTATTAGCTCCGGATTATATCTAATAGTGTCTAAAAGTATCTAAAAGTGTTAATAGCTTTTAAAAGTGTCTAATTTCCTAATTGGGAGCAACACATTGTAAGCATTGGATTGGTTTCTAATTTCATGATATTAGCACTAATTCTATACTAAGAAGTCTTTAATTATTAGTAGGAAATAGTAAGTACTACTGTCACGAACAGCTGTTCGAGACGAGGGAATTCTAAGCCACAAACAATACCAAAAGGGGTTAAGAGGGGTCAAGGGACTGATCAGACTAATGCCTTAGAATCAGAGGAGACTGTATGAACAGCAGTCCTTAGATTGGACAGAAGTGGATAGCCTAAGGCTTCTACTCTGCGCCGCAGTATCTATAAATATGTACAAACAGGAGCATGGACCAAGTATCAATGGAGTGGGAACACGAGGTGTGGTTGGGAGAAAGGTCCTACGAGTCCTTATCAAAAAGGTGAGAAAAGTAGGTAAGCATAAGCAAGGCATTTCGTAACATTACCCCCCCCTCTAGGCCATCAGTGCCAGAGATAGTAAGTAATAGTCCAGGAAAAACATAAGCAATGCGCGCAAACAGAGTTATACAAAATAATACTTAGGACACAGATTCTCGCTGCCTACAGTCGAGTCATGATGTGATAGCCCTTGAGTACGGACGTCATGATACCCTACCTCATTACCAACCATGCGGGGACTGTGTTCTAGAACCGAGTCCCTGGTCTCATCATAGCAGTGAGTACCAGCCCAACGGATTCAAACCATCATTTGCCCTGGCAGTTTTACGTCGTACCGGACGTCAGCATCTCGTTCTTCAAGCACCTCGAGGGCAGAGGACAACGGGTCCGCTGGAGTCATATTCGACGAAGGGGAGGGGAGGTCAAGTTTGGGTAGAGGAGGGGATTACTCCCAGTTGCGCAGGTATGACGTGGTAGCGGGGCAAAATCTGTGTGAATCTATAGATATCCCTTCCCCTACCACGTTCTATGGGATAAGCCCCTGGCATTGGGCAAAGCGGTGCTCCATTTGAGGCTGAAGACGAGGCACGAGATACCACAGCCGTAGTAGGCATGTGATATTCAGTGACGGGGGTGATGTCGTCAGCGGGATGAAAGGAGTCTTGAAGGTGTGTAGTTCGATTCAAGCCCGTAAGTCTTCTCTCGCCCGCATTGATACGGGCGATGAGTGTTCCTTCCCGAATCTGCAAAGCCCTCTACACATGTCGGACAAAGCTTCTTTCTTCTTCCAAAATCTCCAACGCCCTTTGTATCTCCGGTCGCGTGGGTCCTGACACAAACTCAGTGTTTGGTGTACCTTCAATGAGTCTCATCATGTAGGCGACGGGGGTCATTAGGTATGTCTCTCTGTCAGGAAATATGATCCCATTGCCTTGTGTGCGGATGAGGGGTGGTGGAGAGGGGGAACGGGAAGGTGAAGGTCTATCAAAGTCCTCTGTGAGTCATCTGATCATCTTGTCTTCTCATCGTTCGTTTTTGTCCAATCTCCCAAGATACTCATCGAATCCTTCTTCTGCTTCCCACGCTGCTTGTTCTTCATCTGTGTCCTATGGTATGGATCATTCTTCTACTATAGACATCTTGGGGGTCGAGAGGATAGAGGGTTCAGTGGAGGGTGTTTTTTCGTAAGGTTATTCGACAAGAGTGTCTTCAAAGGAAAGGTAGATGGATTTGCTGGAAGACATGTTTGCTGTGGGAGTGGATGAATGATTGAAGGGATGAGGGGATTGCAATGATTGAGTTCAGGTTTTTATACATTTTAGATTTTGTTTGTTCGACGTTTGCGAAAGCTGCTCATAGTGGTAAGTTATGATGTCGCGCATCGTATGCTTCCAAAAGTTCTTTGGCATTCCCTAGGTTCGCCCTTGTGACCCATTCATCTGCGGAGTTCGGGTATCCTTTCCAGTGTACTAGGTATTGATACCCGCATCCTCGTTTCCTCTTGTCAAGAATTTCTTCGACTTCATACTCCTCCTGTCCGTCTATGAGGTCAGGTGGTGGTTGTTCGAAATTGGGGCCGTGTACAGCTGTTTCTTGATAAGGTACGATTAACGAGGCATGGAATATGGGGTATATTCTCCACGTCGGCGGAAGCTTTAATTTGTATGTCACTGGTCCTAGTTTGCTTTCTATTTCAAATGGTCCATGCAGTTTCAGGGCTAGTTTGTCTTTCGGATGCGTGGTGGTGATATTTTTTCCCGATAGCCAAACCTTCTGTCCTGCTTCTAATTTGACTTTGTTTTCGGCTGTTTTCCCTTTCATTAGTTCAGCTGCAACTTCCAGGCTGGCCTTCGTTTCTTGCCGTAATTGTTCTAGCCTTTCCAACCTTTGTTCTACGCCTGGGATATCGGATCTCGGCGTGATCGGAGGTACAAAGGTTGGATTATAGCCATACATGAGTTTAAATGGCAATTGGTGAGTTGCTGAATGTTCCCTGACGTTGTGTGCAAATTCTGCATATGGCAATAATTCAGGCCAATTCGTTTGCTCATAGTTGCAGAATGCTCGTAGGTATTATTCGAGCTCCTGATTGACTCTTTCCGTTTCTCCATCTGTTTCTGGATGGTAAGCGGTTGATAGTGCTGTTGTTACTCCTAGCTTTTTCCATAGTTCTTTTGTGAATCTAGCCGCGAACTGTGGACCTCTGTCGGATACAATCTTCCTTAGAAGCCCGTATTGTTTCCAGATATTTTTCATATAGAGATCAGCAGTTCTTTCGGCATCTATGGTTTTATCGCATGAGGTGTAGACAACGCCCTTGGTGCTTCTATCCACGGTTACGTGAATAGCATTATACGGTCCAACTTGGGAAAGATCAGTAATAAAGTCCATTGTGACTGTTTGCCAAGGTCTTTCCGGTATTTCATTTGGGATAAGCAGGGTGCGTGTGGGGTGCATGATGTTTTTTGTGTTTTGACATGTTGCGCATCCTGTTACGTATTCTTTTACAAACGTGGATATTCCTGGCCACCAGAAATTGTCTGATACTAAGACATAGGTTTTCCATCTTCCTAGGTGTCCCGTTGCGGGTGAATCATGATACATTTTTGTGATTCGTCTTTTAAGTTCATCATCTGGAGGAACATATATTTTTCCTCTACGCCAGATGAGGTTGTCTTCGTAATTCCACTCTTGTAATCCTTTTGAGAGTGCTCTAGGTCCTAATGCTTTGATAAGCTCCATTGCTTCCATTACTTCTTTGTCTCTAGCTGTGATGTCTTTTAGCTTTTGTCTCAGCTGGCTATCAAGCATTTCAACTGTTCCTCATCCTGTTGCACTTTTAATGAATATCTAGGGTTGTAGTATCACCCAATCTTTGTTGTCAGATTTTACCCCCTCTTTTAGATCTGGATGCCTGGACAGAGCATTGGGTCGGTGGGTGACACCAGGCTTGTGCACGAGGATGAAGTCGAATTGGGAAAGAAAAAGTGACCAACGTGCTTGTCGACGGGAAAGAGTTCTTGCGGTAGAGAAGTATAGAAGGTTCTTGTGATCAGACCAAATCTCGAATGGGTGTCATGCGCCTTCAAGGTACACGTGCCAGTGATCGAGGGCATGTATCATAGCAAGCAATTCTTTGTCAAAGATATCGTAATTGCGCTCCGCCATATTGAAAGATTTGGACAGGTAAGCCACAGGGTGCCATCCGTCGTTGGGGGTTTCTTGTGATAGGATGGCGCCAGAGGCAAAGTCGGACGCATCAGTTTCAAGACAGAACAGTTTGTTGCCGTTGGGGTAAATGAGGACAGGGGTGGAGGTAAAGCATTTCTTTAGGGTTTCGAAGGCGGCATCTTGTTCACTGGTCCACTCAAATGACACGTCCTTCTTTGTGAGATTGTTAAGGGGTCGAGCCGTGGTAGCGAAGTTGCTGATAAATCTTCAATAGAAGTTTCCAAAACCGAGGAAAGATTGTACCTCCTTTAAGTTCTTCAGAGTTGGCCAGGCGGCAATGCCATCTACCTTAACCAGGTCCATGGATATATGATCCGCGGAAATGATGAATCCAAGGTATTCAACCGTGTTCGTCTCAAAAGTACATTTAGAGGGTTTCAGGAATAAATCGTTGTCCAAAAGTATTTGCATGACTTGGGTCGTCATGCGCCGATGTTCTTCAATAGTCTTTGTAAACACCAAGATGTCATCCATGTAAACCGCAAGGACTTGCACAACAATGAGGTTGTGGAAGATGATGTTCATCATCATTTGGAAAGTGGCAGGTGAGTTGCAAAGACCAAAGAACATGACAAGGAATTCAAACAGGCCAAATTTGGTCATGAAGGCTGTCTTCCATTCATCGCCTTCTGCTATGCGGATGTTATTATATCCCCACTTGACATCAAATTTGGAAAAGATCTTTGCTTTTGGTTTTGCAATGGTTTTTATTACGTCGTCAATTAGGGGTAGTGGGTATTTGTTTTTTATTGTCCATTCGTTTAGTCTCTGATAATCTTGAACCGGTTGTAAGCTTCCGTCCTTCTTTTTTATGAAGAAAAAGGGCAATGCTTGTGGGGATTTGGATATTCTAATGATTCCCCGCTTTAAATGTTCTTGAAGCATTTCGTGTAGCTAGTCTTCTTCTTCTTCTGTCAAGGGATACAGTTTACATCCCGTTGGTTCCCATCCTGGTTTCATATCGATCTTATGGTCCCATTGTGAATGTTCTGGAAGTCGTTGCAAAGCTTCTTGGCTGAAGATTTTGGCGAATTGCTTGAGCATGTATGCTGGAACTATTTCCTCAATGGGTTGTTCTGTTTTTGTTTTGTTTGCTTTTTCTGCCAGTTGTTGTGACTTGTTTCCAATGGAACTTACGTGAATCACTTCAAAGGGAAGCATCTCGAGTGGATCTTGGTAATACCATTCTTCATAGAATTCGGAAAAGAAGGTGTCATCAATTTCGTCTTCTATCTTGGAGTATCCCACTGCTCTGCTTCTTCTTCGCTGTGCAGATGCCAGCGCTTAGATAATGAATCTAGGTCGGCTGACTAGACACGTGATAGTGCATATTGAAAACATGAGACTATTTTTTACCCAATTGATTTGTGGGTTATGCTCGTGTAGCCAATCTGTCCCTAAGATTATATTTTCTCCTCCTAGGTTAGCGACTAGCAATTCACATCGTTCATCGTGGTAGTTGTCTTCCTCGTTCGTCATTCTCATGAGCAGGCAAGCTTTGTTGGTGATTTGTCCTCCTTCGTTGGCTGTTCCGTCTACGTTGAATACAGGAATAGGTTTGTCGATTTTTTGCATTGGTATTTTCTTGTTTAAGCAGAATTGCCTGTCGATGAGAAGTCCTTCTGCTCCTGAGTCAATTAATACCCTGGCTTTGGTGGTTCCTCCTTTGTATTTCAGCTGCATATTTATCCTCATGGACGATTTTTGATTGGATTTAGTGAGCCGTACAATTGTTTTTACAGGAGATTCTGGAGTGGGTCTACGGTACACCAGAGCCGTAGGCATATTTAAAAACCCAATTCTTTTTGCTTGCTTCCTTCGCTCAATTCCTGAAGGAGCACTTCCTGTTTGTCCCATCTCATCTTTCCTATAACCCTTTGGATCTCTTCTCGGCTAATCTCAGGCTCCTCCTTATGTACAGGCGCATCCGGTCCGGGTGCATAGGCCTAGTGAGCTGCGAGTCTGGCCTGGAATGGGTTAGTCGTCGCCATGCTTCTACCTTGCGCCGTAGTGCCTCCCTGAGCACTGCCTGGAGCTCCTGCCGAGAGCGCTCGGCCATAGCTGCTTCCTCCACCTCCCATCCTGCTGCTGGCCTGAGCCGAGCGGTTCCCCACCATTCTACTACCCTGTTGAACATGTCTAGTTGACCCTTCATATACCCTAGACAAACCCCTGGCAGGGCATTGATTTGCCATGTGTCCTTTCTGATGGCAGTAAAAGCACCTGCTCTCCATCCTTAAGCGGTTGCGCTCTTCGTCTGTAAGGATCGTTCGGACCGTATCTACGGCCATGGGGACGACAGAGTTATTCATGGATGATGGAGCGTTAGAGGAGTTGTAGCGGAAGGGATTGTTTGGTCAAACAACGGTAGAGGGCACAGAGCTTTTTATGCTCTGCAGCTCCCTCTATTGGTTATCGAACCTGCAGGTGTATTTTACCCAATTGTCTATGGTTGTCGGCATGTCAGGGAGTCTGTAAATTTGTTTGAGAATTTCCAGGTATATGGCTCGGCAGAAATAGTCGACAGTGGATTTGAGATCAAATCCACTTTCTCCTGCTGTCATGAGGAAGTCTGTAATGAATTCGTCAGCTGATCGCTTTCCCATTCTCATGGTGAATAATTTCTGTCTCGCCTTCTATTCGAGACTTTCATCCTTAAATGTGGCGGCTAATTCTTTCAGGAAGTCTTTGAACGTTCCCCATGTTTTTTTGGTTTCCGTTGCTTTGTACTCCCAGAGTTCTCTGTCGAAGTAGTATTTCTGTGCGAACAGTGAAGCTGTTCCTTCCCTCATATATGACAGGACCATAAGTGTTTTGTTCATGTCCGTGTCGTACTTGGTCGGGTTGGCTAGAATGTACATATGGCATTCGTAGATCCATTCTCTGTATTTTGACCTTGTTCCATCGAAGTCCCTCAGCTTGTTTCCTTTGTCTAATATTTCGTCTTTGTTGTCGATTGTTATTGCACTAGGTGCGGGGTTTGGTTGTGGATTTGGGTTTGGGTCCAGTTGACTTGGTCCTGCTACAGGTTCCGGGTCTTCTTCATCAACTGGAGTTAATACTCCTGCAGGGATTGGGGTTTCTTCGATATCTCCTTTCAGGATGTTGATTGGTGGTAGGACTGGTTTTGTTTGGGTCGGGGTAGTGACAGTTCTGAGGGGTGCCTTCCTGTCTTCCCAGGCTACTAGTGGGGCGTCAACTGTTTTTCCGCTATCCTATCTTCCTACGTAAATCCAATTTCCTTTGGAAGTTCTTTTGATGGTTTGTCCAAAGTGGACGTATGTGTTTGAGTGCTGCAAGTAGTTGGTTCCATGTGGAACTCGCCCTATGTGTCTTCCTAAGCCTTGGGAAGTCGTTTTGTTAGATCAAAGAGCCCACGCTAGTCTCACCCTGATCAAGGTTTAAGGGTCAAGGCAACAGCAGCTCTTTCTAGCCGGGTATAGTATTTCTGCTTCTGGTATAATACCGTACGTAACGTCAAGTGCAATTGTTTTGGTCGTACCTCCACTGGGTTGATTACCAGATAGAAGTATTCTACAACCTGAAACGACCCACACTGAAGTGGAATCGTCCAACCGTTCGCTCGAAGTGTATAGTAACTATTACGGTCGACGGACGCCTGTCTTTTGGGACTGCCTAGCGCCGTGTGTAACTAGCCAGTGTTCTGCTGCAAAAAGAGGATAAAGACAGGTGTGGGGTAGGATTGTGAAGGAGAGGCTATCCAGATGTCACGAACGGCTATTTGAGACGAGGGAATCCTAAGCCACAAATAATACCAAAAGGGGTTAAGAGGGGTCAAGGACTGATCAGACTAATGCCTTAGAATCAGAGGAGACTGTATGAACAGCAGTCCTTAGATTGGACAGAAGTGGATAGCCTAAGGCTTCCACCCTGCGCCACAGTATCTATAAATATGTACAAACAGGAGCACGGACCAAGTATTAATAGAGCAGGAATGCGAGGTGTGGTTGGGAGAAAGGTCCTATGAGTCCTTATCAAGAAGGTGAGAAAAGTAGGTAAGCATAAGCAAGGTGTTTCGTAACAACTACTGCTCTATCAGTGAGAAGGTAAAGATGTGGCACATTCTATACTATTTCAGCATATTACTCTCCTTCATATATGCCTATACCATTATCTTGTAGCTCTTTTGCTGACTTTCCAGCTGCTTTTACAAGGGATATAGAAAGAGAGAAATGTGCATTGATGCCCCCAGCTACTTTGTTGGCAGCTTGGCAGCTGCCACAAGAGGCTATGAAGACCTTGGTACCTTGGCCTTGCACACAAGATCATTAAAGTTGTCATTGTTAGCCAATGCCTGCTACTGGTCATTATAGGACACAACATATGGGTTGGACTTAGGGATATGCTATATGTAGCCTTGTAGACCTTATCTATTAGTACAGTGGCTAATACTGTCTTGTGCAGCACACAATCATCATCATTATTGATATTACAATTTTTAGCACTATTTATATTGTTCATTGCCTTGTTATACAGAAGATGTTCAAACTTGGTGTTTTCCTCTAGCTATTAGGCTGTGGAAAAGACAGTCATATTGGTATGTGGTGCCAGAATGATATATTTGCCTACCATATAGGAAATATATGCATTAAGCATATTAAGATCACCTCCAACAATATTGTGCTTATTTATATATAGGCATGCTATACATACACTCACTAGTGGCTATTTGGAAAACCCTTCTCTCTTATTGAATCTTGATTATTCATAATCATGTTTTTGATCAAATTTGCAAATTCAGGTAGCATTGTCTATACTAGTAGAGTCCCATTGAATATTACACTGAATCATAGTTTTACATATTCTCAGTCTAAATTGTATAAGTGCCATAATTTATTTTTATCCTATATAAAGTGTATTATTGATTTTCCATTGGTTTATTATCTTCTTAGCTGGTGTTTAAACTAAATCCTGAAAGACCTGACTTTTTAGGTATTTATTGACCTGTTTATTTATAAGATAGAGGAAAGATAAATGTTGAATATAATCAGAGATGTTGAGGTTGCCTATATTATGTCTACTTATTTTGATTACCAAGTTCATATCTTAGACCTTGTGGCTTAGTGGCTTAGAGCATCTGTCCCAGGTGCTTGTATACATGAGGTTGTTGGTTCAACTCTGGCAGAAGGCAAGTTTGTTATAAAGTATGTTCTGTGTTTAGGTATTTAACTAGTGCTCTAATAGACATGACTTTATAAGAAGGCTATGAGAACTGTGATGCTTGATTTATTATGATTTTTCCGAAATTTCAAGTTATAATGAATCCTAATAATTCCTAATTTAGGAAAATTATGTCTAATTAGAACAGGTTTAGAGGGGGGTAAGCTAAAAATGTCTAATCCTAATCATTCTTAATTATGCATAAATAGAACTAATTAGAGCTTAATACAAAGGAGTGATTTTCCAGATGAAGGGAGTACACCTATGATCTAGAGGGTAAGAGTCTGAGGAAAGAATTACCCTTAGACCACAGGTATTTAAGCTACACAAAACAATAAGAAACAAAAAAGGAAGGTATGACATCAATGGGTTATTACAGATAGTCCACCTTACAATATGGTCAAAAGCTCCACCTATAGGTCAGTCTGGAGCATCAATGACATCACACAGGACCACCTAAGTTAGCCAATCTAGTAAAACAATGAAAACAAAGTGAGACAGTCCAAATGGAGAAGGAAAGGAATATGCCTACTCTAGGAGTGGCTGTAGAGCTGCTCCCAGCTGTAGGGGCAAGTCATTAATGAGTCTATATTGTGGCATGTATGTGGCACATATGCTACATCAACTAGAATGGCTACAAACAACAAGGGTCAATCTGACAGATGAATTGGGTGTTCCATTTGGATCCCTAGTTTTACAGGGCTTTTTCCATATTAGGGAGCCCTTGAAGGTCAATATACTATGGTATCAATGAGCCACCCCTCTCTTTTCTTGGTACAAAAAGAAGGGTATAACATGACTGGTGCAAAAGTCCTAGAACAAGGTTATTTATAATGTATAACCTTAGTAAGGTGAATCCTCACTATCAAGGTGTGATAGGTGCCTTAGACATCCTACTTTGGATCTCTAGTTTTATAGGGTTGTTTCCATATTAAGGGGCCCTAAATGCTGACACACAAATTGATAGGAGCTGCACTCTATTAAACAATAGCTATTTCAATAAAGTAGAGAAAAATAATATCCAGAACAATGTAAAACTACCAAAGGCTTGGTCCATAATAACTATAAACTAGTTTCCATCTACAAAACTACCTCTGTCTGAAATAACATCAAACTACCATTGTCTACAATAATATAAAACTATACATATCCAGAGTAATAACTAAACTACCACTAATCCATGGAATGTGGTTGTATTTTGATGAAGCACAGAACCAACCTCTGTGTTATGAAACCCTGCCTATAAGTAATCAAAGTGCTTCTATATTCCTTCACTTTTTGGTAAAAGAATATGGGGTCATTCTAGTTCAATTTCAGATGAGGTGTCTAGGGATGTGAAGGAGCTAGCATTTCCTTGCAGAGTGTCCAGTCTAATCTTAAAGTTGAAGACAAGAAATTCTGCTTCAAGACCTAGTCAGAAAGCAACTAGAATATGTGCCTCAAGTCAAGAATTTAGTTATGGCTGACTAGATCACAAGACTCCCTCAGCCATATATTACAGAAGTATGATATAGGAATGGCCATCCCACAAGTCTAGTCTATTCTGCCCTAATGTCTAAAATGATATTAAAATAACCATTGTTCTACTATAATATTTGCAATCAGACACATCTATAATGATGCTAAACTATCCATGTCCATAATGACCCTAAGCTACCCGTTCCTTCAAGCATAGGGATTATTGATCAATGGCATTGTTGATGACAATCTATTTATCAAGTCTGAAATGACAGTAAACTACCCCTATTTCCAATGGGCAAAATCTATTGTAACTTAAAGGAATAAGTTAGACAATAGAAATCACCTAGCTCATGGTGTTAAACTAAGTTGACCTTAACTTAGGTCTAAGTTATCTAGTTTGATATAGTATAAACTGTTTCCATTGTATCCTAGTAGAACCCTATTAAGACAAAACCTGGTCTAGGGCCCTATACATATCACTAATAAATGATCTGGTGTGCAAAAAAGTTTTCCTTTATAGGTACTCTATAATAATGATGATAAAGGTCCACAATGACCTTTCTCTTAAACTAGGGGCAGCACCCAAATGCTAAAAGCTGTCCCACACACTACTGTCTCTATATGATGAGACAAAACTATATATATATTTATCTCTGCATGATAAGAGAAAACTACAATCATGATGTCTATAAAGACATTAAACTAATGGAACATCCAGAACAATGTTTAAACTACCATTATGGATTGACCTTATGTGACCCTAACTAATTAGTTATCTGTGGTCATAAAGTCTACTCACATACCCAAAATTAGTATTAGTCAACAAGCAAGAGGCCAGGCTCCCTTTTTACTCCAAATCTAATCTTAGTTAGAGATAAGCTCACTATATAGGAATGATATAGCTTGACAAGAGTACCAACATTCAAGTCTATTATTCTTCACATCCTTGCCTTGAATCCAATACTATACATAGTATTCCTTACTATAGGCCCATATTTGTGACAAACAAACTCTAGACACAAACTCAACCTCACTAGAATTGAGCTCACCATATAGGAGCAATACTACTTGGAATTGTTAAAGAAACCTTACCAATCCCAGAACCAGTTATAGAACCCAACTGGAATGAAGAAGTAGGCCTAAGCCTTATAAAAGCAATCAACCTACTTGTTCAGGGACCCCTTTAGCGCAGCAATCATAAGGATAGAAGAGCTATCCTAGAAATACTAAGGTTTGACCTTTAGAAAAAAAAGAAAAAAAACATGCATCTGGAAAATTATCCCCTTGTATTAGCTCCAAATTATATCTAATAGTGTCTAAAAGTATCTAAAAGTATTAATAGCATCTAAAAGTGTCTAATTTCCTAATTAGGAGCAACATATTGTGAGCACTAGATTGGTTTCTAATTTTATAATATTAGCACTAATTCTATACCAAGAAGTCTTTAATTAGTAGTAGGAAATAGTAAGTACTACTGCTCTATCAATGAGAAGGTAAAGATGTGGCACATTCTCTACTATTTTAGCATATTACTCTCCTTTATATATGCCTACATCATTATCTTGTAGCTCTTTTGCTGACTTTCTAGCTGCCTTTACAAAGGACATAGAAAGAGAGAAATATGCATTGATGCCCCAGCCACTTTGTTGGCAGCTTAGAAGCTGCCACAAGAGACTATGAAGACCTTAGTACCTTAGCCTTGCATACAAGATCATTGAAGTTGTTATTGTCAGCTAATGCCTGCTACTGGTCATTACAGGACACAACATGCAGGTTGGGCTTAGGGATGTGCTCCATGCAGCCTTGTAGACCTTGTCTATTAGTGCAGTGGTCAATACTATCTTGTGTAGCACACAATTATTATTACCATTGATATTATAATTTTTAGCACTATCCACATTGTTTATTGCCTTGTTATATAGAAGATGCTCAAACTTGGTGTTTTTCTGTAGCTATTAGGCTGTGGAAAAGACAGTCATGTTGGTATGTGATGCTAGAATGATATATCTGCCTGCCATATAGGAAATATATGCATTAAGCATATTAAGATCACCTCCAACAATCTTGTGCTTATTTATATATAGGCATGCCATACATATACCCTTGTCCCCATCCTCTACCTTACTAGTGGCCATTTGGAAAATCCCTCTCTCTTGTTGGATCTGAATTATTGATAATCATTGATAATACTAATTTGAGCTGATCATGGCTAATTATTCATAATTATGTTTTCGATCAAATTTGCAAATTAAAGTAGCATTGTCTATACTAGTAGAGTCCTATTGAATATTACACTTAATCATAGTTTTACACATTCTAAATCCAAATTGTGTAAGTGCCATAATTTGTTTTTACCCTATATAAAGTATATTATTTATTTTCCATTAGTTTATTATTGATTTCCATAAGGTCTTGGTAGATCCTTCTTGCTAATTCCCATTTAAGGCCTCCTAAGAAGTGCATCCCCCCAGTTTCTAGGTTTACTTTAGCTAGTTTGTCAATTTGCTTGAAGAGCTAAAGATACACATTGAATGATTCTTTATCTTGATTTATTCTAGCCAGCTTGTCTCTAGTGTCTGGTTGCTTATTAAATTCAAAGTCTGTAGAGATTTTCTTATAGACTAAGGTTTTTTCTATTGCTTCTTTCCATATGTATTTGTCCCAATTATTGTTTTTATTTCTAGCTTTAGTAAAGTTTTTTGACCATATGCTAGCTGATCTTTCCTTTATGTAAATCAGAGCATACATGATTTTGGTGAATTCATCTAGAAAACCCTTTTTGTGAGCAAGGATTACTAGGTCAATTTTATAGAGGAATTGCTTTATTTATTTTCTGTTTTCATCAAAGGGGGTGGGTTTTGCCATAGCCAGTCCTTTGGATTTAGGATTTCCAGGATTTGTTGACATTTTATTGGCTGGGGGCCATAAATTATCTAAAGACCCTCAACTTAAATCTTATTCTCAAGTATACTCTTATTAGGGGATTTTAATTGGTATAAGGATTCTGAAACTCACTTGGAAAGAGGTTTCTTGTACTAGGGATAAAACAGGAGTATGTTTTCGAGAGAGTCTACTCTACTGGCTTTTTCTCTGGATAGGTTATATATATGTGGTTTCAGTAAGTTATAATTCCAATTTGTGAGTAATTTAGACTTAAGGAATCTGAGCCTTTCAATGAGATTGACAAGTTTAGTTGTTTATAAGTTTGGCATAGCATGGAATCCCTAGAGAATTCCATTATAGTAGAAGTGTTTATGTTTTTTGTCACAATAAACATTGTCTTTGTTAACATCCTGACTATGTGATTGATTTGGTTGAGAAGTGTGAGGATTTTGCTGGAGGTGGACCCTATGATAAAACTTTGGTGATAATAAGTTTTGTGGTCAAACTCTCTTCTTTAGATAACTAATACAGTTTTGTCAATTTTGATTTGATAGAGTGAGTATCTAGTAGCCTCTAGTGTGTCCTAGTTTGGGATAGTATAGGTCTAGAAGATAAAAATGGCATATTGGTTTCTTTGGTCACTTTTTTCAATGAGTTTTCTTCTGATTCCTTCTAAATCAATATTTCTAATGATATGCCTTTGAAAATCCATGATATGTGCACTTGGAAAGTAACTGGGTCTTCCATTATTAAGATTAATGGTATTTTTGGTTTAGATAAGGTTAAGTCCTAAGTGTCCAACTATGAAGACTAGGGGTTTTTGGGTTATTGATAAAACAAAGCCTGGGAAAGGGAAATCTGAGTCTATTAACCAGATCAAAGAAACATTTATAATGTGCTTGTAGCTAGAATATGGCTACTCTGGCATATGTTAGTCATATTACTGAGTGCCTGGATATAGTAATCCTTTCCTCAGGAATTTCTTGGCTAATAACTAGAGTAGTGGCTTCTTGTCTTTGAGTTTTGTGGCTTCATGCCACTTAAATAGATCTGTGGCTTCTTTCTTCCAATATCTATTAAACAATCTTGGCAAGAGATTATATTAGTTGGTATTCCAGGATAAAGATAGGATAGGGAATAAGAAAGCTTGTTTAAGTATTAAGCTAATAGGCTTATCATGTGCTATAAGCACTAAGAAGGATTCCCTAGGCTATTTGGATTGCAACAGTCTATCAAATAAAGACTATTGCTTGTCCTTGGGCTTATGTAAGAAAGTACAGGTCACTATCAACCTTATCTTCAAAAAGGTAGAGAAGATGATTCTCAATATTGGCACAGTGTTTATTGGAAACAAGGCTATCTTCTCCAATCTGATAGTTGACTTCTGATGGGTTCTAAGAGATGACTCAATAGGCAGTGAGTCCTTAGTATATAATAGTGATATAGGAGTGAA